GCAATGTACGAACATATCTTGTCTAAGTCTGTGCTAGGTCGTTGATGTACATTATAAACAGTAATGGACCTATCACTGATCCCTGCGGAACACCGCTAGTTACCTGAGCACTCTCTGAGCTCGCTCCGCCTACTCGGACGTGAAAGGTTCTACCGCTGAGGAAGTCAACTATCCAAGAGTATAAGGAGCCTGCCAGACCGAATCCAAGGAGCTTCTGCGCCAACAACTTGTGGGAAACTGAGTCGAAAGCTTTGCTGAAGTCCATATAACAGACCTCTACCGGCAGTCCTACATCTAACCTCCTGGTAACCTCATCTAGGAACAGTAGTAAGTTTGTTAAACACGATCGTCCGCGAACAAACCCATGCTGGACCGGGCTCAGTAGGTTGTGCGTTGTGAGATGTTCACACCACGCTCCTTCTTATCAAGCGTTCCAAACATTTGCAAAGAACTGACGTAAGACTAACTGGCCTATAATTTTTAGCTAATTTCTTAGACCCCGACTTATGGATGGCGACAACTTGTGCTTTCTTCCAGTCATTTGGCAGAATTCCCGTATCCATAGACAGTCGGTAGAGCTCCTTGATTGGGGCACTGAGTACCTCCGAAAGAGGTTTGATGATCGCTGGGTGCAGACCATCCTCTCCAGCTGCCTTATGTCTATCTAGGCTCGTTAGTTCCCTGCTTACATCGTCTACAGTTATTTCGAAGGTAGTGAGTGTTGGTACCGTCGCGATCACCCTGGTTGTACCTACCTGCATGGGTTTCCTGTACACTGACTCGAAAAGTCACAGAGGGCCTGTGCTTTTTCCTCGTCTCGGTGAGCGAGTATCCCTTCACTTACTTCTAGGACGCCTACATCTTCCCTCGTTTTCTTGCTGTCTTGGGCATAGGCGTAGAAAACCTTCGGGTTGTCTTTGACCCTCGAAGCAATGAGCTCTTCATACGTTCGCTTAGCCCTCCTTTGTACGGCCTGTGCTTTGTTACGCGCAGTCTTGTACCTCTCCCAAGCCGCTGTACTACTGTTATGCCAATAGTACCTCCAACACTTGGTTCTATGTCTTATTGCCCTTGCGACTCTCGGTTTCCACCACTTTGGACGGCTACGAAGCCTTGGGATCTCGAGCGGTGCAAACCTTTCCGTGAGTTGTGCAATACCCTCTCTTATGCATTGCCATCTAGCCTCAACACCTGTATCTGTACCCTCCGGATACCACCTCATTTCTCTCGCCGCGGTAATTAGGCGGGTTTCGTCAATGTGGTGATAGTTCCTCTTATATTTGCAAATCCTGCTTCTAGTATCTATAGGAATCGTCAGTTGGACCACACAGTGGTCGCTTTTCCCCAAGGGATCGCTGAACGTTATGTCTGAAACATCATTCTCATAGCGTGTGACCACCAGGTCTAGTAACGATGGCTCACAGCCCTCTCGGAATCTAGTCGGTTTGTGGACATGTTGAGTGTACGCTTTGCTGTACACCCAGTCAAGGAATTTTTCAGACCCATTTCCCTTGGGTGGAAGTTCCAGAATTCCAGGAGATATGTGGAAAATTAAAATCCCCTACCACATAAAACTGCTTAGATGACTCCACGAAGGAGCTCAGGGCGTCGAGCATAGAATCAGTTTCAGCGGGTTCAGCCATCGGTGCCCTATAAACACACATGATACCTATTTGCTTACGGTCGATGATGATTTGGCAGCCGATTGCCTGGATATTAGGTGTATTGATGGCGCTGGGGTGTTCCCATTGAACATATTCCCTATCTACTAGTAGCAGGGCACCTCCCCCTTGTCGTCCATCCCCCCGATCCTGTCGGTATTGATTGAATTTAGTTAGTACACCTGCCGATACTAGGTGCGGATGTCGTAGCCAGGTCTCTGTTATGGCTCCGACTCCAAAACCGTGCAGCCTAGTCTCTAGTTCCCCCCCTTACTCCCGAGGCTGCTTGCGTTAGTGTACCAGAGTTTCACTTCTCGCAGCCCCGGCCCTATGCCTTTCCCTATCGGGGACGACTCCTCGATCTTAGCACTCTTCTCGGTTCGGGTGATGTTCGCGTGGCCATTCCGTTTTTTGGAGCATCCTCGATTATGGTGGGAATAGGTCACGTTCGCAGCAGGTCGGACGGTTTCGGACCAGCTGTTACTCTTAGTCCTAGTACTGTGTTTCATCTGTGGGCTGGGTGTCGATGTCACCACCGACGCCCAGGTCGTATTACTTCTGCTTTTTCTCCCTTTTCACTAACGCTATCACCTGGAAATGGAGTACCTGGTGTTTGTGAGCTCGCCTCACTCTGCCTAACCCTGTTTCTAGACGGCGTCCGTATTGTCGATTTGTTTTCGCTACTTGGTGTTCTAATCTCTGCCGTTTGATTGCCTTTCTCTCTCGTGTTCAGTTTATTCGTAACCGTTTTGTGTTCTTTCTCCCTCCAGCCGGCGTCGACTTGGTCAACGGAGTAATGTGAACACGAGGTTCCTTGAACACTATTTTAGGGGTGACTGCAGTGGCCACTTTTGGGGTGGGGACGGCGTGGTTTCAGTTGTAATCTGAACCAGTCCATTTGTCCTTATCCCTACCTGCATCGCCCTGCTTAGCAGTAGATCTCTATGACTCCTGTCACAGAAGACAACCATCATCGGCCTTGGTATGCGACGAACACCTTGTTTCCACGCTCCAAATCTATGGAATTTGAATAGCGGTAATGCTGTTGGCATTTCTGCCAACCTCAATATATCCCTTATTCTGCTTTCGTCTGTCGCCATTCTTACTTTGTGATCACGGATAAAGGGTTCACTGAGGTTGTGCAACACTACCGATTTTGATTTCCGGTGATCTCTTCTAGATCGTTTCGGAGACGCACTATTTGTGTTTCCAAGTTGTCGATTCTCTTGCTCAGTGATTGGCTCGTTTCTCCTAGTTTCGTTGCTGTCATACTTGCCTTTAATTCAACGTTTTTCTTAACTTTCTTCTTATTTCCACCACCTCTTGCGCTTACTGTTACTCCGATTTTCAGTGTTTTTATCCTCTACAGGTGGGTCCTGGTCTGTTGCGTCTGTTCTAATGGTACTCTCCCCGGTGTGAATGAAATTCTTGAGCAAGAGCCGAGAACATTCCTCCGCCAGGGCTACACAGTGGTCACAAATCCACTTCAGTGCTCTGTGCTTCTTATGTAAAGCAAAAATTTGCTCCGTCAGCTTTGAGCATTTTTTATGGTACCAGGAGAGGCACCTATCGCACTGTATGCCATCCTCTACGTATGTCCGGCAGGTACTGACCGGACACGGTATTTGATTTAGCATGGGTTGACATTTTACGAGGATATAAATCGGTGTAACTGTGAGAATTAACGGTGTATAGAGTAGTAATAGCGATGAATGTCAAGATAAAACGGATTATCCAACAGAGAATCGAAAATTTAACTGAGCGCGACAAGGATAGCGAAAACAATTCAATTCGAACGTACCCAGGAGGGAAAAGAGCGACACTTTGGTAAAACTGCGGCATGGTTGGTTATACACCACTTGTGGTTATGAGTTTGGTATGCTTAGTTTTTTATGCAAAGCTTGCTGAATTCCTCCGTATTGAAAGAAGGTACCGCTCAAATGATTTTCTCTTTCTCGTTCGAAATTTCCAACCGGCAATCGTTAATCGCGATTGATCAGATCATCAGATCACGGGGCACAGGACGATAGTGGCGAAGCCAATCCGGCGTCCAGTTAGTGTATCCTCGGCCGGAGCTCTGGACACTGTAGTCGTAATTGAATAGGATCTGTGGAGAGGGGGGTAGAGAGATCGCTTCTCGAAAGATTAGAGAACATTCTAAAAGATTAATAGATCTATCCACAGACAAACAATAAATCATTCACTCAGAGACTATTGAGGGAACTTAATAGAAGTTTTTCTCTTTTTCCTTCCCATACGAGACTCCCAAACTCTTTCACATATGATTCTTTTTTCCACATTCAATTTTTTTTCTTCTTGGCAACCATCTTGTATTATAAAAAAATTACCATCTTGGGATGTCAACAGCTGAATGCTACAGCAACTCCGGGAAGATTGAATTCCAACGAGCATCCAAGGACCTCTTGAAGGATTCAACAGTCCCACAAGTCACTAGCTCTTCAGGAAGTTTATTCCACAATGGTACCACTCTGTTACTGAAAAACTCCTTCCTTATATTCAACCTTGAGAACTGCCTCCTGAGTTTCAGGCAATGTCCTCGTGTACTTAGTCCTGTGAGGGGCTCGAAAAAGTCCTCAAATTTCAGACCTGAGATCCCCTTTGCCATTTTGAAGACCTCTATTAGATCCCCCCTACATCTTCTTCTGGCGAGTGAGAACAGATTGAGTTTTTTCAAACGGTCCTCATAAGCTAGATGCTTATATCCGGTTATCATCCTGGTAGCTAGCCGCTGAACTTTTTCTAATAGGATGATATCTTTTTTCAGATATGGAGACCAGGCTTGGATACAGTACTCCAAATGCGGTCTCACTATGGCCTTATATAGTGGCAGGAAAACCTCTGGCTCTTTGCACGACATCGTCGAGTGAAGCCTGAAGAGTTCTCCCCTTGCCTTCTTCGCCGAATTCTGGCACTGTCTAGAGGGCTTGAAATCCTTAGTGACCATAACGCCCAAATCTCTCACCTCGTTGACTCCTTCCAATAGTATGACCAGCTATCTCAATTGGGGTCTTATTTGCACTTAAAACTTGACACTTAGAAAAATTAACCGGTAATCTCCACTCCTCTGACCAGGAAATTACCACTTCAAGATCCCGTTCCAGATCCCAACCTGCTACCTTGATGTCATCGGCAAACATGAAACATGGGTTGTTCAATCTCTCTGCTAAATCGTTGATGAACATCAAGAATAGCATGGGTCCCAAAACAGAGCCCTGCGGAACACCGCTAAGCACCTGACCTTCACTAGATACAAAATTACCTACCTTAACCCGGAACGAGCGGTCGTGTAGGAAAGCAGTCAACCACTCTATAGCTCTACCACCTATACCGAAGGAAACGAGTTTGTGGATCAGGAATCCATGGTCCACCGAATCGAATGCCTTCCTGAAATCTACATAACAAACTTCGACAGGTCTCCCTTCATCGATTCTCAATGTCACTTCGTCCAGGAAGGAAAGAAGGTAGTGAGACATGACTTCCCTTTTACGAAACCATGTTGTGCACTGCAAATGAGTCTGTTTTCAGTTAGGAATTTTCCTACCTGTGCGCGGATGATTCTCTCTAAACATTTGCCTACTACTGTAGTCAGACTCACGGGACGATAGTTGTTCGTCTGTTTCTTAGAACCACCCTTGTGAAGGGCAACTACCGTTGCTCTCAACCAATCTTTCGGTAAGGTCGATGTACGTATCGACTCTTTGAACAGCTGTGAGAGAGGATCCGCTAGTACGGATGCTAGTGGTTTCAGGATTGCTGGATGGATCCCATCGGGTCCAGCCGATTTATTCACTTTCAGCTTCAAGAGCTCGTCTTCCACTTGGGTACGATCGATTATGAAGTCATTGAGCATCGGTTTCGAGCTATGGTCCAGTCCCGCAACAACACCAGGAAGTTGACTCGGGGCTTGATACACGCTTTGGAAGAACGTTTTAAGTAATTGTGCTTTATCGGAATCGTTGGCAACAATATTGCCTTGATCGTCCTCAAGAGTACCTACTGTCTCTCTCACCTTCTTATTCGCTTGAACGTATGCAAAGTAACGTTTGGGGTTAGTTTTCGCCACGTTGGCAATTCTCTTCTCGTACGTGTACTTCGCCTGTCGCTGGATCGTTTGTGCTTCATTCCTCAGCAACTTGTACACACACCATGATTTATATGATCCCTTTCTTGGTATCGTTTCCAAGCCATCCTGCGCTTCTTCAATGCTCTATCGACTCGAGCTTTCCACCAAGGTGGTCTTTGTTTTTTCGCCCGTAGGGTAAGTGGAGCGAAACTCTCTGTGAGCACCAATAACCCATTTCTTACAACAAGCCATCTCGTTCGACATCTGCATCCGGTGAGTCAGGAATCCAGGTGATTTGGGATGCAGCATCTCGCAATTCCTCCGCATTGATTTTATCATATGCTCTGCTCCATTTTTCTTCAGGCTTAAGTTTCTTACTAACAATATCCACTTGAATCACCACGTGGTCACTCTTCCCCAACGGAACGCTGAGCTCCGAGCAATCGATATCTGTGCGATACCTTGTAATCACAAGATCTAGTAAGGATGGTCTATTTCCTTCCCTGAACCTTGTGGGGCTCGTGATGTGTTGCGTGAACGCATTCTCCGAAATCCATTCGACAATTTCAGATCCCTTCGACCCATCGATCATGGTACCCAGATCCCAGTCTACGTTTGGAAGGTTGAAATCTCCCACTATTACGAACTTCCGTGTCAAATTCGTGAATAGTACTAACTGCTGAGTAAAGTCTCATCCTCCATTTTCGTCGTGTCGGGGGATCTATATACTACGGTAAAACCTACTGCGACGTCACCAAACTTGACTACACAGGCACACATTTGGATATTAGGGGTGGACATCGTTGGTAGAGCCGACCACTGAGGAAAATCCCTCTTCACCAATAGGAGGACGCCACCTCCTCGACGACCGTCATTTCTATCCTGTCGGTACGCTTCGAAATTCTCCACCAGTTTAGCCTCTACAGTTTGATTCGTATCTAGCCAGGTTTCAGTGACGGCGATAACGTCACATTCTTTAGTTCTCGTGACTATTTCCCCCCACTTACCTTTGATACTACTAGTGTTGGTGTACCAAACTCTAGTAGCTCCGGCCTCTATGAATCTACCTACTGGTTTTTCCTTACCCTCGGGCGTAGAACCCGAGGGCTCAACTCGTTTTTTTTGTGCCCTAGATATTTCATTACTCACCGATTTTATATCCCACGTAACACCCCCTTCGTCCAGAGGACATCGGAACCATCGCCTACCCACTTGTCCATCTTCTTCGTGACAATCTAATAGTTGTGCCTTAGAATTTGCTGTTCTGGGTGAATTCCGAGACGCAACACTGGCCCACGTTTCTTGCTTCTCCGAAGCTGAATCAGTTTGTCTCTCATTTCGCTTTTATTTGTACTCTCGATACTACCAACACTCGATCGTGGCGGATTTACAGTAAGGCCGAAAGCTGGTTTTCGCTGTGCAATTAGTAGCATACACTGTGATTGGCTAACCAAGGGGTTGAATGATGAATGGGTGTGATCCTAGCACTTTTTTTCCTTATCACTTCGGTCATCAGACTGGCTTCTTACCCATATTTCCCCCTGACGTTGCACTTGAGATCCTGTGAACTTCGTCCTCGGAGGTCGTTCTGAGAGTTTGAGGTTCACCACTGCCTCCTTAGTAGCAGGTTTCTCGTTGCTTTTCTGTTGGTTCTTGAGGACGGAACCGTGACCATGATTTGCACTCACATTCCGCTGTTGCGGACGCACGAATAAATCGTCGGGTTCTATTCGCATAGACCCCTAGTGCAGACTTTACAAACTCAGCCTTCCAAAAGCAATCTCAGTCTTACGCTAGGAAGACCAGCGTCGCCCCCGGTCTCGGAGTTCGGAGGGGTCGGTCATTCATCTCCTACCGGTGAACACTGAGATGTCGTGATGTTGGAGGTAGACAGCCAACCTCAGCCATCCCGTACTGCTTGAGCTCTCCTTATTTCCTCGTTTTCGTATTCCGCATGAAGGGCTCCTTATAATGAAGAGGATGAGATCTTGGTACTCCCATCAATTCATGTGCTAATTCCTCAGTTTTTTCAATTCATTTTTTCTTTTAGACTCGCTATTCTTTCTTCAAATTTCTATATCAATCGCATTTTTATCAGCGCGGTGTACCTTGAATTCACCGTGCCACTTCCTAACTTTCGCTTCATTGCAGAACCTTGCCTTGCCAAGCTCTGGGCCACCGTCAAACTTTCCCCCTTTTTGGGGATTAACTCTAGTTTGTGGACAAACAATTAATGGCGACTCGCCGTGAAAATCCTAGTCGATGAATTCTCCAAACGACCTGAAATCATTCTCGAGCATCTTCTGCGAGATCTGACATGATCCACACGTCCATCTAAAGATGAACCTCGCAATATAGTTGAACGTCGCCATCGGTTAGCTGGCGCAATTCGGATGATGCCAGACTTGCATCGACACACATATACATCACTAACATATCTCTGCACGTAATCACGACACAAAGATTGATGGAACACACGGGACTCATCTCATATAAGTAGTTTGAACGTTATCCATACTGGCGAATAATCGATGGATTTAGGAACTTGTTACAACCAGCTAGTAACTGACAAACCATCAGCAACTTAGGTGATGCACAAGCAAGTAATCCGTAACCGAACTCACTAGACTACAGCGTCAAACTTTCAACGGCAATCGTTAACGCAGGACAGAGGTCAGCGATTGGTGATAATGCAGCAGATAGAAATCTCATAGGCCTACACGGCACCTGTATATAGAATAGTCAGATGATAACACACGGGACGGTGAGAGAGGAAAAATAGAAAGTAGAAAAAACAAGAATGAAAATAGGAAGAAAAAGAAACCGAAAAGAGCAGAGAGAAAGGAAGAAGGAAAGGAGGAAGAGGCAAGAAGGATGGCGAGGAAGATTACCAATCACTCAGTTCACCCCGTTATGATCTGACACACGGTTTGCATATATTCTATCCCGTGGGACTGCGAGGCAGCAGGTTACGCGCATGGTTGGTGTCTCGTGAGTTTGGATCCCTTCTCACCCGTAATGCCGTCGGGTAGCTGCTCCCCCGCGTGAAGCATGTGCGGGCTACTCAAGAATCATTCGTCATGGTGATCATGTCCGCGGTTACCTTGGTGATGAATGTGAACGATAGGAGTGATAGTGTATTTGGATTGTGTGGTGATGGTGATGATGATGTGGTGGGGCAAAGATGGTGAGAGACATGACAATAGCGATGTGGTTGGGGAGCCATGTGCTGCCCAGAAAGTTGGGTTTGTCAAAGTCCGGATAAGCACCATACTCCTTGCGACTCTTCAACAGAACTCGTGAGGCATGCCGTAAGCAACTAGAGAGTTACAGATGAAGTACCAGAGTGAGGCCGCTGCAGGGGCCGCTGATCCACGAACAACACACCAAGACCGAGTCCCACGTCCAGACAACACAGAATGAAGGCATACTCCAGTTTGGATACGATTTTTGTTTTTTGTTTGTTTGTGATAAACTGGGACAGTGGAGAGGACAGGATGACCAGTATTACCGGTTCCATCTGACTAGGATGCACCGAAGTAAACCGACAGGGCCTGTGATTGCATTCTACAGTGGGACGTTGGGAACGGGACAGGACGGTGCAACCAGTTGTCACCAGCTTCAGATCCACTGGAAACCAGTACATCCGTTTCAAGCAAGCACTGGAGGACAGGACTCCCGTGGTGTCACCCAGCTTCTGTTCACCGGGAACCCGGTGTGTCCCGTAGACATATGAGGGGGATTAGGACGGGCCTCCTAGGGAAACCCGTGACAGACACACGTGGAGGGGAATTGGAAAATGGGTAGGGGAGGGAGATGTTTCCTCTGGTGGTCTGGACGCAGAAACACGGACTCGAGAGGCCGAAAGTGTGACCATTGTTGCAACCACTACCCTCCTGGTTTTTCAAGCGCAACTGTCGTCATAACATACGGTGCAGCTCCACTGATGTTGATGGTCAGTAGTTGTACGGACGCCGGTGGTTGTCGTTGAATGCGTGCATGATATGACAGTGTAGTCCATGATGTTTGGGAGTTCTATGGAGAAGTAAGGAGGTAGGGCCACGGGACGGATCACGAGAATGAAAGGGATGCTTTTGATTGTGTACTAGTAAGCGGTTCTACCAACAGATATGCGATGGATAGGATCCAGTTGACCGATGGGACAGATAGCAGCGTGACTTTCGCCAGTACTAGAGACTGTGAGTGGATGGTTACTCCTTGATGGAACATAGGAAGAATAGAAAATGAGTAGAGAAAGCGAAAAAAAAACAAATGGTTCAGACTAATACTATGGAATATACATACTCTATTATTCTAGCTACGGGGTCGTGTGCCCTGACAGGTGGATGCGGTGCTGGTCCCCCGTTTTTTCGTGCCACCCAACGAGGTACACCAATCCTAGGATTGATGCAGCTCAGCCTAGACCCCAGCGGGCAACAGCATGGTCCAACTTAGGTTTGAACTCATCGATGCTTTTGCCGCCAACAACAGTTCAATCAATCAATCAAACAATGAGCTGAGGACGGACGTGCAGGCAGCCAACGTTGCGTCAGATAGTGTATCGTCGCGTAGGTGTTCGCTCAATACTGCAGAGTTCTTGGTCTCCATAGATTTTCTTCCGTTGTTACTTTCGTGGATGTGGTGCACTTCTCTCGATCCTATCTGGAAGAGAGAAGTGGACAGCAGTACCTGTTCTCGGTGGAATCCCGAAATGTGAACATACATCGAAGAAGTATATACAGAGATCTTATCATACTATAAAAATATGTACTATTGTCTACAACTGGCGCAGAGCAGGCGCGTATGAATGCATATACACATGTATTTTTGTATATTCAATCCTTTTGTGTTTTTTTCATTCCTTTAGATTTTTCTTTCTTTCTTTTCTTGTTTTTTTGTTTTTCCTTGTGATATTTTTTTGTTTGTTTCTTGGCTATTGTGTTTTAATGTTTTGGAGGCAACAAGCTGGTCTTCATGGAATATCTGGGAATAAACCCTCCCAGTGGCTATCCAGGGCTTTTTTAAACGCTTCTACCGTTTTGCTATGAACTACTCATCAGGCAGACTATTCCAGAGCGGGACTACACGGACCACTGAAAATTTTTTTGCTAATCTCGAGCCGCGAGTGTTTCCTCGCCAACCGAAGACTGTGACCCCTTGTTCTCTCCTCTCCAGGTGTTTGGAACATTGCATCAGCCTGTATACCCAATTTACCTGTACTATTTTGAATGTTTCAGGACAGGAAGACAGGAGAGAGGACAGATTTGACAGTTGCCAATCAAGCGTCCAGATATTTGTGTTTTCAGCCAGTAGGTTGCGTCAAACACTGCTGGTCCGGCTGTGGATAGTCGGTAACTTCGTATTGGTATGATCGGGGGGATTTGATAGTAGCTGAGAAGGGATAGATGAGAGGATAGAAGCTCCGCTCCAGGAGCTTTCGGTTAGCTCTGTGTTATTAGGAACTCAAGCAACACTAATGGGTTCGGATTTAATGTCCGAACAATGTTTTGTTTGAGTGATGATGATATATGTTGATTTAGGAGGTTAAGTAAGGACAGAAATGTAAAGGAGAGAACGAGGGAAAGAATGAAGGCTCTAGTGGATCTGTAGGTAGTAGCAAGGAACACTACGAAGGGTAGAAAGAAGTTTGCTTGAGGTGGTCACACTATGATCTGTGTTATCGTCTCTTGTGTGCCCGGGTTTCCCCGTACAGTAACACCAAGAACTATGCCCGATTTATAGAGCTTGTCTTAACGACATACCCGGCGAGCAGTCGAGGGAATCATTCACTGTGGTGACTTAGTAGGTAATCGGAAGAGTTTGTCTGCGGTCGAGTTAGATCCAAGACGAGAAACCAGTTACTAGGATACCCCACCAACATCCAGGAGTAGATATTGACACTGAGATGCGTCCCTGGTTGCTTTCCCCACGATTTGTGTACACCTTCTCCTTCGTCCGTGAGAACTCACCCGTCGCAGAGAGCAACAGTGGGTTCGGGCGACATCCAAGGCTTTAGTTACCTTCACCAATATGCAGGCCCGAGCCTCGCAGCTCAGCTACAATTGATTACAGGCGTCACTCGGAATGCCAAATCGACGGGATGCTGGTTATCTCTTCTGACATAGCCCTGGTTTGGCTCTCACACGTACCCCCACGTATCAGGTTAGATGGGTTTGAACCCGGTGGTACCGATGCAAGCATCAGTGTGACCAAGAAAACACTCAGTCCCACTCAAGGCAAATAACCACAAGGTAGTGTGTGCTGCAGCCGCCCCTCTCGCAAGATGTTCTCAGCCCCTGGGGACTTTCATGGTGCATTGCCCCCACCACACGATTGCAGTCGTTTGTTGGGCTTCGTGTGGTGGAATAAATGTGATGAACTAGGTGGGTTGCACGCGAGGGGGCACCCTAGTTGGCATACCGTCGATGATGTTGGGATGAGAAACATAACCTTCCGCCACTGAGACTCACTGCGCAGGGTCCTCACTGACATTGGTTCTAGTGCTTCACTTGTCAGGGGTTTGGCCGATTCGACATCACTGTGTATATCCCAACCTTCAGTCGACGGGAGCACCCCGGTAAAATTTGATCTCCCAAGATGGCAAACCCTCGGCGCAGACGAAAATTACAGAAGAAGTCACGAAGACGATGGTCGATCTATGTCCTTTCAACAGTGCAAGCAGTATCTAGGTCGGGTTTATTTGACTCATTGATCTCGCGGGACAACAGAGAGTGGAGAGTGTCACACATAGAAATGCACCAGTGCAAAAAGAGGTGATCTCCACGTAATCTTCTTCTACTCAGAGAAAACAACCCCAACTGCTGTAATCTCTTTTCATACGGTACGTGCCTAAGACCTTCTATCATCCTGGTCGCGGTACGCTGGACCCGCTCTAAACAAGCTATATCCTTCTTCATATAAGGTGCCCAGGCTTGCACACAGTATTCAAGATGCGGTCGGACAATGGTTTTATACAATGGAAGGAACACTTTAGGTGTGCGAGAGGAGATGGTTCCACATAGCCGGAATAGTTCTTTCCACGCTTTGCCCGTTGCAAAATGACATTGGCTAGCAGACTTGAAGTCACATGTCACCTGGATACCGAGATCCCTGACCTTCTTCACGGCTTCAATCCCTGTGTTCGTTGAGTTTCTACTGTCTTCTACCTTGGTTAAAATTTGGCACTTATTCATGTTCAAGGGCAAATCCCAAGTCTGCGACCATGTCTTAACCAATTCGATGTCTTTTATTAAATCTTGCCCCGCTATTTTGACATCATCAGCAAAAATGAAACAAGGGTTGCTGAGTTGTTCCGCAAGGTCATTTATGTAAGTCAGGAACAACAGTGGTCCTAATACTGACCCCTGTGGTACTCCGCTGCTGACTGCAGTTGGCTCGGAGAAGGATTCACCTACTCTGACTCTGAAGGTGCGATCTGCAAGGAAATCAGTCACCCACTCCAAGATCCGCCCATTGATACCGATGTTCCTAAGCTTATGGAGAAGCAGTGTATGGCTCACAGAATCGAAGGCTTTCCTGAAGTCCAGGTAGCAAACCTCCACTGGCAGTCCTGCGTCAAGTCTACGGGTGACCTCATCTAGGAATGTCAATAAATTTGTCAGACAAGACCGACCACTGATAAACCCGTGCTGCACAGGGCTGAGTAGTTTATTATTTGTCAGATACTGACTAATCTGTCGCCTGATGATTCGTTCTAAGCATTTACAGAGCACTGACGTCAGACTGACGGGACGATAATTATTGACGGCTCTCTTAGGACCTGACTTGTAGATCGCTACAATGTCTGCTTTCTTCCAGTCCTGTGGGATACGACCCGTGCGAAGGGATTCGGAGAAGAGTTCCGTAACAGGTGCAGAAATAACGGAGGCTAGAGGACGGATTACGGCGGGGTGTAGCCCATCCTGACCTGCTGCCTTATGAATTTTCAGTGTACTTAGTTCTGAGTATACTGACTCCTCCGATACGTAAACTTCCTCTAGCCTTGAGTCGGTCATAGGTGAGTCCTCTTTCCTTGGAGCTGTTGTTGTGGTCGGAAGACGCTCTTGAAGAACGTCATCAGCACATCTGCTTTCTCAGCATCCGTGTGTACAAGGTTTCCCATTTCCGATTCAAGTGAACCTACTCCTTCCTTGAACCTTTTGTTAGATTGTGCGTAAGAATAGAACTCCTTGGGGTTCTCTTTTACACGATTTGCAATTTTGGTTTCTAATTCTAGTTTTGCTTGCCTCTGCATTGCCTGCGTTTGGTTCCTGCACCTTTTGTACCGCACCCAGCTTTCTCCCGAACGCCTTACCTTGTAAGCTTGCCATAGTTTATTCCTTTTGGAAATTGCTCGAGCTATTCTAGGTTTCCACCATTTTGGTTTGTTTTTTGCACGTGGTGGGGTCAGCGGCGCAAACCTTTCCGTCAGGCCTAGTATACCCTCCTTGATTTTCACCCACCTATCATCCAAAGAGGGCTTCAGGGTTAGAGGCTCCCACTCGACTGATCGTGCTGCTTCTACGAGCATATCCTCATCTATTCCGTGATAGTCACGTTTTAATTTACTATTGCTCGTTGGAATCCTGCTTGGCAGTTCGATCCGAAGCACACAGTGGTCACTTTTCCCGAGTGGATCCTCATATCCCATGGATTGTATGTCACTGGCGTATCTTGTTATTACGAGGTCAAGTATACTAGCTGTTTGCAGTGACCTGTACCTTGTTGGCTCGGTGGTATGTTGCTGTAAGCGCCTTCCGTATAGCCAATCAGTGAAGGTATTCGCCATAGTTCAATGTGAGGTGACCAAGCCGTATTGCCAATTCAATTGCAGTGTTACAAGGACGCACGGCAATCCTGTAGGTAGTCCAGTTCAGGACAGGACAGGAAGGAGCGAAGGAAGATTTTGGCAGTTGCAATCACGCGTCCAGTATTGTGTTTCCAGCCGGAGGTTGGCGTCAACACTGCTTGGGTTTTGATTTGGAGTAGTCGAGCGCCTTCGATTGATAAGCGCGGGGGTCGGTAGGTGTATAAGATTTGCGGAATTGATCTGGAGTACTGAGAAGGGGGGATAGAGGTTAGGTAGAAGCTCGCTCGAGGAGCCTTTGATAGCTCTGTGTTGTTAGGAATTCAAACAAGGCGAGTGAGTTCCGTGGCATGTTTGAATAATGATTTGTTGAGCTATGCTGCTTCTTGTTTAGATAAGAAATGAAGGAAGGAGTAAGGAAGAGTGAAGGAGAGAATGGGAGGAATGGAAATGTAGGAAGGAGCAAAGAATAATGACGAGAGAAGAGAGGAGTTCGTGGAAAGTGGTCACACTTGAGATCTGTGTTTTCGCCTCTCTTGTGCCCGGGGTTTCCAAGTAGAGTAGCTCCAAGAAGCATGTCGGATTTAGATGTCTTCATGACATTCACCCGTTGAGCAGTCGGGGAAAATCGTTCGCGGTGATAACTCACTTGGTAATCTGGAAAGTGATGTCTGCAGTCGAGTCAGATCCGAAACGAGAAACAAAAACTACTAGAATATCCCCACCAACATTCAGGAGTAGATATTATCACTGAAATGTGTCCTTGGTCGATTTTCCCAGAACTCGTGTACGTCTTCACCATCATCCGTGGGAGCTCACCCATCGCAGAGAGAAACAGTGGGTTCTGGCGACATCCGAGGCTTTAATTACCTTCACCAATATGCAGGTCCGAGCCTCTCAGCTCAGTTACAATTGATTACAGGCGTCACTCGTAATGCCAATTCGACGGGATGCTGGTTACCTCTTCTGACATAGCCCTGATGTGGCTCTCACACGTACCCCCAACGTATCGGGTTAAGTTGGGTTTGAACCCGGTGGTACCGATGCTAGCATCAGTGTGACCAAGAATCCACTCGGTCCCACTCAAGGCAAATAACCACAAGGTAGTGTGTGCTGCAGCCGCCCCTCTCGCAAGATGTTTGTAGTCCCTGGGGACTTTTATGGTGCATTGCCCCCACCACACGATTGCAGTCGTTTTTTGGGCTTCGTATGGTGGATTGAATGTGATGGACTAGGTGGGTTGCACGCGAGGGGGCACCCTAGTTGGCATGCCCGTCGATGGTTTGTGCTTAGAAACATAACCTTCCGCCACTGAGACTCACTGCGCAGGTTCCTCACTGACATTGGTTCTGGTGCATCACTCGTTAGGAGTTCGGCCAATTTGACATCACTATGTATATCCCAACCTTCAGTCGGCGGGAGCACTCCGGTAGATTTGATCTCCCTCAGATGCAAAACCCGGCGCAGCCATCAGTATTGTGCAAGTTCCTACAGACGACCAGTCTAATTTCATCATTCCATGCTGTATCTAGACCGAGTTATGTGTACTCAGTTGATCGACGGGTACTTCTGAGAGTAGAGACGTCACCCTCGAAATGAGCCCGTGCACAACAGAGGCGATATCCACGGCTCGTTTAGTGTGGCCAGATAAGTTTGAAAGGAGAGAAGAGAAGAAAAAAACGTAGAAGGTATAAAGTATAAGAGAAGCGAACGGAAGAGGCACGATTAATTGACCGTGAAAGCTGGTTTGAATTTGGGTGTCACTTTCATAATAGTTCAGGGAATAATCCTTCCCAAGCCCGATCTAGGGCTATTTTGAAAGTTTCGACTGTCTTGCAGTCTATTATGGATTGTGGCAACTTGTTCCAGACTGGTATAACTCTGACTGAAAAGAATTTTTTCCTCACATCCAATCTGGAATGTTCTCTCTGGAGTCGTAGGTTATGGCCTCTTGTTCCAGTATTTGGAAGTTTGTGGAAGAGATCGTCTAGCACTAGACCTGAAAATCCATGCGTTATTTTGAACGTCTCTATTAGATCACCCCGCATACGTCTTCGCTGCAGGGAGAAAAGGTCTAGAGCTTTTAAACGATTTTCATACGTTAGCCCAATCATACCTGTCACCATCCTCGTAGCGGTGCGTTGCACTCTTTCTAATAGCTGGATGTCTTTTGTTAGATATGGTGCCCAAGCCTGGACACAGTATTCCAGGTGGGGGCGTACTATCGATTTATACAGCGGTATAAACACCTCTGCATTTCTGCATGTCAATGTGTTTTTCAGCCTGTACAGCTCTCGGTACGCCCTCGTGGTCGCATTTTTACACTGGGCTGTGGGTTTGAAGTCACATGACATTGTCACCCCTAAATCCCTCATTGTCCTTACGACTTGGAACGTCGCCGTGTTCTCATCTGAGGCATCCTGTGTTAGGGTTGTGCACTTCGCCTCGTTTAGTGGGAGGTCCCATGTTAGGGACCATTTCTTTAGTGTTTCTATATCTCTTCCTAAGTCGTTCCCCGTTATTTTCACGTCGTCCGCGAAGATGAAAACGGGGTTCGTTAGGTCCCTGACCAAGTCGTTTATGAAAACAAGGAATAGCAACGGTCCTAGGACGGACCCTTGCGGTACACCGCTAGTTGGAGTAGAGGAAGGTGACATACTGTCGCCCACCCTCACCATGAAGGTCCTGTTTCTTAGAAAGTCCTCTATCCACTTGAGGAGGTTTCCTCTGATCCCTAGTGCTAGTAACTTGGTCCAGAGGTATCGGTGGTTTACGGAGTCGAAAGCTTTGCTGAAGTCCAGGTAGCAAACTTTCACCGGGACACCATCATCTAGTCTTTTTGTACCTCATCAAGGAAAGTTAGCAGGTTTGTTAGGCAAGATTTCCTAGCTAAAAATCCGTGTTGAGCAGTGCACAAAAGGTTATTGTTGTCAGGTAATCTGACAATTGCTTCCGGATGATTTTCTCGAAACACTTGCAAAGTACTGAAGTTAGGCTTACTGGGCGATAATTTTTAGCTAGTTTTTTTTATCCAGACTTAAATATGGGGATGACCGTAGCAGTGCGCCAATCGCTTGGCAAACGACCATCTTCCATAGATTGTTGGAACAGTGCGGTAACCGGCTCAGCTAGAACCTCTGCTAACGGTTTTAGAAGCGCGGGATGGATGTCGTCGGGACCCGCTGATTTGTATATATTTAAAGTTTCCAGTTCATGCCTAACGTCATCCTCCGTTATTTGAATACTTTGTAGGCCGTAACTAGGGACATTGTTGAAATGTATTTGGGGGTCACTTCCAGTTGTAGTGCGGAAAACGTTGCTGAAGAATTTTTCGAAGGTTGCGGCTCTTTCCTGGTCTTCCGTGACCAGAGTGCCATCCTCAAGTTCCAGCACGCCCACGGTTTGTCTTTCCTTTTTGGTTGATTGGACGTAGGCATAATAGGCCTTCGGGTTTTCCTTGGCCTTGTGGGCTAAGTTACATTCGAAAAGGTATTTTTGGTGTCTTTGCAGGCTTTGTGTTTTGTTTCTTTGTGTTTGTATAATTTCCACGCTTGGTGTGTGCGTGTCTGTTTATAGTGCCCACCAGTATCGGCGGCGTTCCTTATGGCCGTTAATTCAGGTTTCAGTGTTCCAAGGGAACTGCACGGCATGCCTGTGGTGGTCCCGTTTTTTGGAGCAATTGAGCTCAGGGATTCCAACTGCACTTCGACTGAGAAGAAATGATCGTACTCCGGTGGGTAGGCAGGCGAGGATCCTTTGCACTACAGTACTCTTCCGTTGGGCGGAAATGTAGATAAATCTCAACAAACTCTTCAACACGAGGCATATTCATTGGTCACACACACGGCCACTTTCCCCACCAAACTTTTCTGGGTAACGGTCATACAAGATCTGGGAAGATAAAACTGGCCACATTCGTCCAGCCGCTGTTGAAGGTAATCGTATTAGGCTTTAGGATCGACTTTAATATCCATCAATTTTATTGTCTTAGCAACCGGAGTGACAAGGCAAAAAATAGGGCGGAAATTTATATCTGCGGAATTAATTAACAGGGAGCAAAGTGCAACCGTAACTCACGGAGGGGCGCCAAAATGTGCCGGATTCAAGTTCGTTACATTAAAACAAAAACGGTTCGGGGGTATGCTACAAGTGCTCCCCCCTTAGAACGCTGAAGAGTGTTCGAACAGCAAAAAAATGGAACTGATCCGTTTAGCGAGGGGAACGGAAATAGCAATAGTTCAGTGGGAATGTTGGTGTCCGGCAATAAAGCATGGGGGAGGCGCATACGGTGATGAGCTGCATGGTTCGGCGCTGGTGATGAAAAACCTGCACGCTAATTCCGCCCAGCGCAGGAAAACCACCAGACGGGTCAATCCGGGCGCCCGTGGACCTACGACGCCTAGCGTGTGCGGTGACCACCGCGCTGCTCATTGTGCTCCGACAAACGATAATGTACATGTAGTGCGAACGGGGGAAACCATCCGTAAACGGGACCGAATCGAACGTTGAGACGTGCGGAATACGACCAACCCACGAAACCTGAGAAAATAGAGTGAGGGCAGAAACCCGAGGGCAGTATCTGGCCAAACAAAATGCGCGTATGACATATGTATACTATTAAATATATACGACGGATAAAAACTTCTTAGGAAAATGCACACGACGACCTGACCTAGTGAATTTACTTGTAGAAGGCGGGTCGTTTGTCGATGAATCGTCGGACGGGGTGGTCGGTTGTGGGGTAGCATCCGGAGGTGGGTGAGGCGACGGATGTGGTTGAGCCGGCGGTTCCGATGAGGACGAATCCAAATATGCCGGTTTGACTCTGTCGACTGAAACGGTTTCTCGTCGTCCGGAGCGGCGAAGGGTGATTGTCCGTGTGCCACGCTGGAGGACTTCGAAGGGACCCTCGTATGGACGTTGCAAAGGTCGACGAACGGTATCTGTCCGCAGGAAAACATGGGTGCAAGTGTTGAGATCCGTTGGGACGAACGACGCCGGAGACTGCGGAGCGAGTAGGGGTTAGAGGCAGATGTCGCATGCGCCAGGCCAGGGATTGGGTAAAAGTCGGGGACGGTGGAGCGGGCGAGTCGACGGTCGATAGGAATTCACCGGGAAGTCGAAGTGGTTGTCCGAACACGAGTTCCGCAGCCGATGTCTTCAAATCCATTTTGAGGGCAGTGCGGATACCCAAGAGAACGAGGGGTAAAGCGGACGTCCAGTCCGGTGTCGGATGAATGCTGAGAGCGGCTTTCAGTTGTCGATGGAGTCGTTCAACCATGCCGTTGGCGGCGGGATGGTAGGCCGTTGTCCGAATGCGGGTACATCCGAGGAGGCGCAGAGTGTCGTTGAACGTAGTCGATTCGAATTGAGGTCCGCGATCCGTCGTGACGGTAGTGGGGCAACCGAACACAGAGATCCAACGATCGAGGAAAGCCTTCGTGACAGTTTCGGCGGTTATGTTGGGAAGTGGGACAGCTTCTGGCCAACGTGTAAACCTATCCACCATGGTCAGTAGGTACGTGTGGCCATCAGACGGTGGAAGTGGACCGACGATATCGACGTGCACGTGACTGAAACGTGCAGTGACAGCAGGAAAAACACCCACTGGCGCGATGGTGTGGCGGGAGACTTGGCTTGTTGACACGGGATGCAGTGGCGAACCCATTCGGAGATCTGCTTTCGCATCCCCGGCCAAACGAATCGGTCGGTGACCAGTTTCACGGTGGCGCGTTTCCCAGGGTGTGAAGAGTTGTGCAGCTGGTCGAAGATGGCACGACGTTGATGTTGAGGCACGAGCGGTCGCGGTTGGGAGGTAGACATATCGCAAAGGATTGTTTCTCCGGAACCAGCAATCGGGAATGCGTGGATGTCCGTCGAGGTAGATGTAAACTCGGCTGTCAGATCTGGATCTGTCCGTTGTGCTGCAGCTAGGTCGAGCGGATTCAACGCAGGGGTCAGCGAGATTGCGTCGATACGAGAGAGGGCGTCAGCGACAATGTTGTCCATCCCGGAAACATGACGGATGTCAGTCGAGAACTGGGCGATGAAGTCGAGGTGACGGGCTTCTCGAGGGGCGTGTTTGTCTTGACGTTGGTTGAGAGCGTACGTCAGCGGCTTGTGGTCGGTGAAGATGATGAAATTTCTTCCTTCCAAAGCGTGTCGGAAATGACGAACCGAAGAGTAGACGGCCAGGAGCTCACGTCCGAAAGTACTGTAACGAGACTCTGCAGAGAGCAGTCGGCGAGAGAAAAAGGCGAGTGGTACCCAATGCTGACCTGTGCGTTGCTGCAAGACGGCGCCAATGGCATGGTCGGATGCGTCGACGGCTATGCTGATTTGTGCCAGGGGGTCCGTGTGATGTAGTTGGACGGCTGACGCCAGTGCTGATTTGACTTCTTCGAAGGCTGTGTGAGCATCATCGCTGAGGATGAGAGACTTCGACTCGGGACCACGCAGGAGGTCCGTTAGTGGTCGGATGAGATGGGCGCAATTCGGGACAAAACGACGATAGTAGTTGATGAGCCCAGTGAAACGTCGTAGTGCTTTGGTGGATGTTGGGGCTGGAAACGAACGGATAGCGGCGACCTTGTCCTGTAGAGGAGTGATACCGGTAGCATCGATCCGATGTCCGAGAAAATCAATGGCGGATTGGCGGAGAAAACATTTGGATCCGTTGACCGTCACGCCGTGGAGGGCGAGGCGGCGAAAAACTTCTTTCAAATGTTCCTCATGACTCTCTTGGGTGGTGCTGGCGATGAGTAGATCGTCGATGTAGGGGAAGACGAAGTTCAGTCCACGGAGGACACCGTCGATGAAGCGTTGGAACGTTTGTGCGGCATTGCGAAGACCGAACGGCATTCGTAGGAACTCGAAGAGGCCGAAAGGGGTCGTGACGGCAGTCTTTGGGATGTCTTCCTCGGCGACGGGTATCTGATGATAGGCACGGACCAGGTCGATGGTGCTGAAAACGGTGCATCCGTGTAGACTACCCGTTAGATCCTGGATATGCGGAATAGGATACCTGTCGGGGACTGTGACGTTGTTCAATCGACGATAGTCCCCGCAAGGACGCCATTCCCCTTCTGTCTTCTTGGGAACCATGTGGAGTGGAGAAGCCCAGGGGCTGTTGGAGCGGCGGATGATCCCCAATTCCATCATGTGTTCGAATTCCGCCTTGGCGATCGCGTGTTTCTCCGGTGATAAACGGCGGGCCTGCGAGCTGATGGGTGGGCCGGTGGTGGAGATGTTGTGTTGAGTGTCCGAAACAATTGCAGGACACGGAATCGGCGGGAGGAAAACGGACCGGAAATCCGCCAGTGTTCGGGTCGCTGTCGAGCGACGTGAGGTAGATACGGGGGACGCTGGAACGGGAATCGTGAGAGCACCTGGTCGTGAGCTGCGTCGTGTTGTCTATCAGGGTGAGACGGCGAACGTCGACGGAGAGATCGAAGTGACGAAGGAAGTCTGACCCGATGATTGCTGTTGTGGTGTCAGCAATGGTGAAAACCCAACGGAAGGTACGTCGTAGTCCGAAGTTGAGGGTGAGGGAGCGACGTCCGTAGGATGTGATGGGTGTGCCGTTTGCAGCGCGTAGATGACCAATGGTGGGGGACCGACGATCTTCGGGACGAGGAGGACAGACGCTGATCTCTGCACCAGTATCGATGAGGAAGCGGATGCCGGATGTCCGATCGACGATGTAGAAGAGGCGGTCCGATGTGTTCCCAGCGGCGTCGACCGCGTTTACGGGCTGGGAGGGTAGTTTCCCGACTGTTGATGCCGCCTTCGTGGATAAGAGCAGGGTGGCCAACAGTTTCGGGCCTTGTCACCATACTTGCGATGTATATGGCAGTATCCTGGAACGCGGTAGGGTGAAGGCGAACGATGAGGTCGCCGACGTGACGAGCTGCGAGGGCGACGATGATGATGGGACATGTGAAGGCGGGAGAAATCTTCGCTCAAGGCTTGGATATTGTGGGTGGGGCAGGTAGACTGGCATGTGCAGGCAGCGACAGTGGTCGTGGGGCGTATGGAATCTACGACGCTGTCTGCCACTTTGGCAACGCGCTCAATGTCGGTGTCGTCGAGCGCGTGCAAGATGGCCTGCGCTGGTGCCGGAAGGCGCTTAACCATAGGTCGCGAGGAAACGCTCGTCGAATTGGCGCTCGCCGATGAGTTGTCTCATTTGTCGCAGGAGTTCTGAAGGCTTGCGGTCACCGAGTGTGGAGTCGGCGACGAGGGTTTGCAGTCGAACCTGATCAGATGCCGTGAAACGCTCAAGAATGGCGTTTTCAAGTTTTCATAGGGCTGGGAATCGGAGGCATTCTCAATCACGTCCGATATCTTCTCGACCACGTGCATAGGGAGCACACTGAGCACGTGGTTGTACCTGGAGCGTGACGTTCGGCATCCCTTCACCTCAAAGACTGCCTCCGTTTGTTTGAACCACAAATGGGGACGAATTATCCCAACATTATGGTAGGGATATGTTTTTGTCCGAGGGCGTGACTGTAGGGGTGT